AAAATAAGCCCTGCTGTTCTGAGCTGCTCTGTCCTGCCCCCACCCCTCCTGTGGCCTCCCTGTGTTTGCTCACCAGTACTTACAAGCACACGCCCTGCGTTTAGAGTAAGAGTTAATATCTGTGCTTCCTCATAAATCTCCATTCAGTGCCTCAAGCTATGTTTTTAATTCTGTGGTGCAGCTTTGAGATTTGAGATGAGTGGAAAGGAGGGGCAGCTGACGAGGTAATAATGGAAGCTGCTATTTCTCCTTCTGGGGAGCAGTCTTTGGCTCAAGCCTTAGCAGAGACTCTTGGGAGGCCTAGAGGACTCTTGGGAGAGCTAGGGGAGCAGAAAGAAGTCAGGAAGTTGGCCCGCAAGGAAAACAAATTCAGGGAATAAATAAATTTCAACTCAGTGAAGGCACTAACAAAGCATATTTCCTAGTTCAGGAAGAGGGAGAGGAGGCCTTCTTAAAAAGACACTATCTTGTCTTATAAAGCTTGTGATTAAAAGCATGCATTTTTTCCCATTCAACTTGGAGTTACTTTGTGTGCTTAAAACATACTTCTTTTCTGTACATAGTTCTCTGGCCTTGTATGAGTAATGCCTTCATTATAAACTCACTCCTTCAGCATGTCCCTGCTTTGTCGCTATAGAAGGTAAACCCAGTGTGCTGTGGTGATTGAAAATAGTAATTGCCTTGGCTTTCTACACTGCCAATAACTGTATTTTAGAATTGTGAGTCACTGAGTAAAACAGATAATTAACATGGGTCTAAAAAGAACTGAGGCCTTCTGAAAATTCTAGTTCTTAGTGTGTGTGTGTGTGTATGTGAGGGGGGGAAGGAGAGGAAGAAAGAGAAGGGGAGAAAGGGAGAGAGAGGGAGAGAAAGGGAGGGAAGGAAGAAGAGAGGGAGAGGGAAAGAGGGAGAGGGGAGAGGGAGAGGCACAGGGACAGGGAGAGGAAGAGGGAGAGGGAGAGGGAGAAGGAGAGGGAGAGGGAGAGGATATGGAAAACATCTTAGAAAGTTACTTCTATCTTACAAAGTCTAGTGTCCTAAAATTGACTGTCACACACTTTCCACCAAGCTCTTTCCTGAAGAGACTTGCTTTCTCCTGAAGCTGTTGCTCTATTTTGGCCTCTTACCAGGAGCAAAGGCCACATCACCTTTCTTGCTTCCTGAAGTATGGAAATACAGGCCAATTGCAGAGGATAGAACACAGAAAAGATGAAGTCACAGGAGCTTCTGCAAGGTTTCTATGTGTGTGTGTTTGTGTTGTTCTGGAAAGATCAAATGCTGACCAAGCAGGCTCAGAGATCATCTGATTTGCTTCTGGAACATGGAGTCTGTGTCCCTCATTGGCTACAACAGCACGAACAGGGCCTGTCTAAGTAAGTGGCGGCACTGAAGACAGGGCTTGTAGGAAGGGTTAGGTGACAAGTTCTGAGCAGATTGAAGAGATTTGCTTAACCCATTAGAAAAGCTAGTTCAAGAGCTGCATTTATTTCATCTGAAAAAAAGCAGAATTGAAAACTGGCTTAAGCTTTCCACTCAGATGTCAGTTCAAAGAATTTAAAAGTTTAGGGACTCATAGACACCGAGCCAGCAGTTCTCAATCTGTAGGTTCTGACACCTTTGGAGATTGAATTACTCTTTTACAGGGGTCCTGTATCAGATATCCTCCATATCAGATATATACATTACGATTCATAATAGTAAGCAAAATTACAATTATGATGTAGCATTGAGAAAATAATTTTATGGTGGGGGGGTCATCACAACACGAAGAACTGTATTAAAGGGTTGCAGCATTGGGAAGGTTGAGAACCACTGGACTAGAGGAGGACTTGGAAAGCAGCCAAAGCACATAGGAAGTATTCTGGGGGCAGAAAGGATCGATGGCTTTGACATGCATAAAACTTTCTGAGCCTTAACTGTGTACTGAAGCTTTCTTCCTTCTGTTTGTTCCAGTTCGCTAGCAGTTCTTGACTTGATGACCTGATTAAGTCTGTTCTTTGTTTCCTATAATTACATTTATGTCTCTCGAGTTTGCTCAAAACATATTACTGTCTAGATTAAATAAAATAAAAACTATAAAAAATGTATCAAGCTTTGAATATGTATTAATTGGATAATGTCATACAGCACGGAAATCTTTTCTCATGTATCTTTTTTAAGGATGTTATTATTTATGTATGTATATATCTGTGTGCATGTAAATGCGTGTGTGGACTGGGGAACAGGGTGATGGAGGAGGGCGTCAGAGACCTCAGAGCTGCAGTTTCAGCTGCTTAGAAGCTGATGTGTGCATTATGATCAGGCATTCATATTTCTTCTAGTTACTGACATAACTAAATGTCACAAACCCTAAATAACTAAAGAAGGGTAGTAGAGGTCATATAATTTTTGTCAGATGTACAAATATATTCAGAAGGTTCAGAAGGAGAAATAAATCAGCTTTCAACTCACAAAAAGATTCAGAAAGGGAAATGTGACTTGTCCTTAACCCTACTGTATTAAGAGTCAAAATCCTCAGTGATAGAAGACTACTGATGTCTTGTGCTTCATTCTCTATTTTATTAGCTTGTAGTTTTCTTTTATGAACATGTTACTGTTTCATTAAATATTTCTGGTCACAAAGGTGTGTATAGTCACCATAATTGTCTCAAAGATGTTTAACAGAAATAAAGGGAGACCACAGACATTTTTCCCTCAGCATAATGTTTTTATTAATTATTTGGGAATCTTATACAATGCACCCAATCACAGCCCTTTCCCAGTCCTCCCAAATCTGGGGCCTGGCAAGCCTCTCTTTAAATTCGATAGTTGGAGGGATATGTAATTTTATATCTTCTTCCCAGTCTCTTAACAGATTCTAGTGTTCTAGGAAAGGTCATGACCATGGTTAAAATGATCAGATAGTTAACTTATTATCCCTCTTAAATTTTAGGCTTGACTTTTATTTAAGTCTTCCTTGCATAAAAGACAAAGTGGACTCATTAAGGAAGCTATCTTGATAGAATTTATTCATCTTTTTTGGATAAACAAAGTTGTACTTGGTGCCTAAATTGACATATGAAACAGTAAATAATTCTATTGTGCAAATTGTTTTAATTGGCTCAAGCCAGAAAGCTCCATAAACCAGCAAGCATATATTCCTAAAGGTTGAGATTCATTGCCTAGGCAGGAAAAAAATTCAGAAAAACACAAGGATTTGATCAAAGTCATACAGCATCTGAGAAGGTGGGTTTGAAAGGGAAGTTCAGAGGCTTGCTTCAGATTCTTATTTCCTTCCTTCCTTCCTTCCTTCCTTCCTTCCTTCCTTCCTCCCTCCCTCTCTCCCTCCCTTCCTTCCTTCCTCCC